TTTGAGGGGGGAAGCCGTATGAGGAGAGGTTGAAGTCACTTGGTTTGTTCAGCCTGGAGAAGAGGAGAATGAGATGGGATCCCACTACAGTCTAGAACTTCCTCCCAAGGGGAAGAGGAGGGGCAGGCGCTGATCTCTTCTCTCTGGTGACCAATGATAGGACCAGGGGAAATGGCAGGAAGATGTGCCAGGGCAAGTTTAGGTTGGACATTAGGAAAAGGTTCTTCAGGTAGGGGGTGGTGGAGCACTGGAACAGGCTCCCCAGGGAGGTGCTCATGGCACCAAGCCTGACAATATTCCAAAAGCATTTGGCCAAGGCCCTCAGACACATGGTCTGAATCTTGGGATTGTCCTATGCTAGGGCAAGAGTTGGACTCAATGATCGTCGTGGGTCCCTTCCAACTCACAACATTCTGTGATTCTATGATGATTACCATTACTCCATGCAGTGAAATGTAACTGTTCACAATGTCCCAAGACTTCTTTCCGTAATAAGAAGCATCCAAGTTAGATTCAAGCAACCCTTTAATGTCATTGAATATGTATCAGTATACACAGAAATTCCATGCAGTTAAATTCCTGCCTACATTTCAAAGACAACTTTCAGTGTGATTTATAGCTACTACCATTCACAAATCATCAATTCAGTATGGCACTTAAGATACTCTGGCTACTTCTTTAAAATACAATTAGAAAATAACTGTGAAACAAAGCTGTGTTATCTAAGATAAAATATTCATAAAGTATACTCTCTTATACAGAGTCTTCTGAATTCAAGCAGCTACTCAAAAGACAAACCACTGAACTGTCAAAATAATTAGTAATGATTTATTTATTTCACACAGAAAAAAATAGTCAAAATGACACTTAAACTTGCTGGAAGCCATTATTGGGTTTTTCCCCCCCTGTCAATCTAGGGCATTACTGTAGCTGGCACAGCATGTTCTGCTTTTGTTAAACCAGCTGAAATTTTTATTTTGATCCCAGTGTATACAAAATTGCCTCAGTTTTCAGATTGCTACTTCATGCTGAGGTGTGCATTACAAAGCCGAGACTTAAGTTCACTAAGTGAACACGCCTTTTTCCTGAGCACATAACTGTGTGTTAGAGAATTTAACAGGACAACATGTATATATATTTTTTTTTTTTTCATGGACTTATCAATCTAGTCTCACGGTTTTCAGACACTTTAACCTCAAACTGAAAATCAAATACAATATCACTATTATCACAAGCCTGGAGTGGAGGGTGAACAGCAAGCCTGGTGGCCTACGGGATGACCCTACAGAGACAAAGGGACAGAATCCCAGCCAGCTCTTAGGAACACATGGTATCTTTCTGTCAACCAGTTCAGCACCCAGACATGTAAATCTGGTGGGCCTTTTAAACCACAGATGGTTGTCCTACTTCATTTTTTCATGCATGATTTCTTCAATGAGAATTGAAAAATAAAAAAGTTTAAATTAAATCCATACAGATTTACTTGCTGCAACCAAAGTATAAAAGGGCACAAAGACAGAGCAAATGAAGCATTTCACAACAGGCTCAACCACAGAGTTTAAATCCTGTTCTGGACTAATCCCAAAAGCCACTCTCATATTAAATTAATACATTAATACCTGGTCATTTAGGCTGGGAAGCCAAAAAGGAGCCAAAGGCACAATTTCTTTTGTGCCAGTCATTACTGAAAATGGTGTTCAGTTTCAGTCTAACAGGTTAGCCAAGCCCAGGTGAGGCCTTTGCTTTATCTATTTACCTAAAATTTCCCAGTATTATTAATTCCTAGTATTTAATCTGGAGTTATCTCTTATTTAGGAGTTAATCTTACCACCTGCATTAAGATTTCCTTTGGTTTTACTTTATTTTAATTTTTTCCTAGACTCTTAACTTACATATGCCGCACTATCAATACATGCATTTGACTAATAATCAAATGCTTGTAATAGTATAAAACCATACTAATTTTTACCTCGGCTTTGTAATTTATTTTCCATGCTTCACAAATTAAAAAAAGGGCTTTGTGAGTTTAACAGCAATCAAATCTCACAGTGAACTGCCACTTAGTCATATGCCACCTTTATGCTATCTGCTGATATGAAGCACAAAGTAGCTCAAATCTGTCTTACCTTAATAGGAAATAATTTTAGGGACAGGTGACACTGTGCCTTTCCATGGTATGCAGGCTCAATTTTTACAGCTATGTGCTCTTTCAATATATTTCTTCATGCAGAATAATTCTTTATAAGCATGAACAAGCTTTTATCATAATCATGTTCTACCATGATGTTATTTATCATTGTTTTTTAATGAGTTAAACCCGGGATTGTTGCCTCAAAAAGTACAGTTTAGAAAGGCCTTTCACTTTTTCCAGCTGCTAGCTTTGGAATAACCATATATTCAGTTTTTATCATTACTCATCTTTATTTCTTCATTTGAACTTAGAAAGCAAAAACAATAAAAATGTAATAAATATATTGTGTGTTATTGAATAGATAACAAACATCTGTGTGCTTCAGATGGTATTTTGCAACTTGCTCCCCAACAAAGAATATGAATAAAAGCTGTGAACTAGATTTCATCAAGAAACCTTAGTTCAATATGCCAGCTTTCAGAAGATGCTGAGCACATTTAAAGTCAGTTCCTCAAGAGCTAAGGTCTATCACAGTTAAAAATATTACTGATTTCAGCATCACCTCCATGGGAGGTGATTCTGCCCCTGTACTCCGCTCTTGTAAGGTCCCACCTGGAGCACTGCATCCAGTTCTGGAGCCCTCATCACAAGAAAGACATGGACCAGTTAGAACGAGTCCAGAGGAGGCCACAGGGATGATCCGAGGGCTGGAGCACCTCTCCTATGAGAACAGGCTGAGAGAGTTGGGGCTGTTCAGCCTGAAAAAGAGAAGGCTCCAGGGAGACCTTATAGCGGCCTCCCAGTACCTGAAGGGGCCTACAAGAAAGCTGGGGAGGGACTTTTTACAAGGGCAGTTAATGACAGAACAAGGGGAAATGGCTTTAAACTGAAAGAGGGGAGGTTTAGATTAGATATTAGGAAGAAGTTCTTCACTGTGAGGGTGGTCAGACACTGGAACAGGTTGCCCAGAGAAGTTGTGGATGCCCCCTCCCTGGAAGTGTTTAAGGCCAGGCTGGATGAGGCTTTGAGCAACCTGATCTAGTGGGGGGTGTCCCTGCTGATGGCAGGGGGGTTGGAACTAGACGATCTTTAAGATCTCTTCCAACCCAAATCATTCTATGATTCTATGAATGCATAATCTAGTGTTGGGAACAAAAGTGCCAGGGTTCTCCATACATTATAAAGAAAGAATAGCAATGCAAGACAGATTTATAGTAAAACTCTCACTCCCCACTTACAATGCATGTAGAGCTCCTGAGGCCCAAGGGTGCAGCAAGAGACTAAGCCTCTCATGTTTCCCAGCCAGAGATCAGAGGTACAGAAAACTCTCACCCACAGAAAAAAAGTTGAAAGAGTTGGGTTTGCTATATCATAAAGGACAACTTGAAAGAAGAACTGGAACAGTCTTCATGTACTCAAAAGTGCAAAGAGAAAGGTATCGAACTGCTGTCCTTACATACTGTGCATAAGACAAGAAACAATGAGCTGAAATTTTTTTGCAAAATAGTGTTTAATTAGATTAAATGTTCTGAAAACTTTCTGGGAGTTTGACAACTGGTGCATGGCAAGTGCCTGGGGAAGTGGTGGAATCTCTATCAACTGACATTGCTTAACAAGAGCGTGTACAGACAGTTGTCAGGAACAATGTGTCTGTAACTGACCTCTCTGGCTCAAGAGAATGGCGTAGCTAAAGGAACTTGCAAACTTTTAGGTGCAGTATATCAACTCCATTTGACAAAGGAAAACAGAGAGGTTAAACATGGTAAGAAACAGGGACATCAAAGGAAAAGTACTATTCAACGGTTGTCACAGTTCATTTTTCTAGGAGGCAGGGTGCCAAGCCAGGCAAGTCCTTATACTCCAGTTTCTAATTCAGTGGGAGGTGGAAGAATTTGGAATTGGGAGATGCAGTGTTTCCAGCTCAGCTTGTGGTTGACACCCACTCTGCTACATGTATGTCAAAATCTGCTTGCACTATTCTCACTTGCATACTATAAACTTAATCTTAGGTTAGAAGATTTTTCTCAGGATTCATGTAGCTGCAATTTTTTGCATTCCTTTGTTTCTGTATTTTCCTCTAATCCACAGGCATGCCACAAATTGTTTCTAAAAGCACAGTTTCAGTGAGAAAAGCCTATCACTAACAAGCTCTCATTCACAAATCTCAAATCTCTTTATAAAGAATCAGTCTGCAAATCTTCCATCAGAAATAATACCAAACCTTTTCATTTTGGATCCTATACATTTACTAAGCTGTATCCTGCATACAGGATTATCCTCCACACAAGAACCCCCAAATTTTGTTTTTTCATAGAATCATAGAATTGTCTTGGTTGGAAAAGACCTGTAAGATCATCATATTCCCTGAAATACCTGGAAAGCCTTACACAGCAAGAGTGAAGTCCAGAGTAACTGATTAAAAGTGCAGAATCACAAATACAGTTTGTTATAAAAAGTTATCATTCATTATTTGCATATGAAATGCAAATATAACCAAAAGTTAATTAATGCATTTTAAAATTATTTGGTATCTTTCAAACTGTCATTCATTCTTACAAGTAGGTAAAACATAAAATTCTACCCTTCGTTATCTTTAACATAATTCAGCACTAAGTGCTGTAGCAAAAATGGAGCTACATGAACATAACAAAAGACAACATTGAACAGAACTTACTTTACTGACTGTGAAAAAAAATGTACAAGACAAAAATGTACAATACCCATCAAGTACAAGAATATGAAATACCAATATTTGTGATTAAAGATTTAATTTTTTTTAAGGAAACAGATAATTTTCTTTAAGATTTCAAATTATTCTAGTGTAAGTAATATCATAGTCTTTGCACTCTTTCACAAAAGCAGTATCATTAAAATTAATATATGTGGAGAAAAAAGAATATGCTTTTTTTTTTTTTCTAAAAAACAGATTTAAAGCAGAAAAACACTAGCATTTTAAAAGTGAATAATGGATTTAGAAATGTGAACTTACCAACACAATCCCCATTTGCATCCTGCTTATACCCCATGTTGCATTCACATCGGTAACTAGAGAGGGTTGGTACACAACGTCCATTCAAACAAAGGTTGGGATGGTGCTTACAGATGACTATTGTCTGATTGAGTATTGCTAATAAAAAAAAAAAAACGCAAAACAAAATATGAGACAAATATTCATATTTTCAAACAGAAATAAATATGAAGATTACACTTGGTTTCAGAAAGTATGTTACCAGGTACGTAAATATATCCACCAAATCAAGTATTTGTTCCAAGCACTATCTGTTGACATGACAGTAAACAAACAAAAACAAACAGCTCTCAGAAACAAAAGCTACATTAGACAACCTTCACTGGATCAAGAGCAGCTCTGAAGAGAAGGACTTGGGGATACTGGTGGACAAGAAGCTCAACATGAGTCAGCAATGTGCACTTGTAGCCCAGAAGGCCAATAACTGTATCCTGGGCTGCATCAAGAGAAGCGTGGCCAGCAGGTTGGGAGAGGTGATTCTGCCCCTGTACTCCGTTCTCCTAAGGCCCCACCTGGAGCACTGCATCCAGTTCTTGGGGCCTCCAACACTAGAAGGACATGGACCTACTGGAGCAAGTCCAGAGGAGGCCACGAGGATGATCCGAGGGCTAAAGCACCTCTCCTATGAGGACAGGCTGAGAAGAGTCAGGGCTGTTCAGCCTGGAGAAGAGAAGGTTCCAGGGAGACCTTATAGCAGCCTTCCAGTACCTAAAGGGGCCTGCAAGAAAGCTGGGGAGGGACATTTTACAAAGGCAGGTCATGAAAGAACAAGGGGAAATGGGTTTAAACTGAAAGAGGGCAGGTTTAGATTAGATATTAGGAAGAAGTTCTTCACTGTGAGGGTGGTCAGACACTGGAACAGGTTGCCCAGAGAAGCTGTGGATGCCCCTCCCTGGAAGTGTTTAAGGCCAGGCTGGATGAGGCTGTGAGCAACCTGGTCTAGTGGAAGGTGTCCCTGCTGATGGCAGGGGGGTTGGAACTAGATGATCTTTAAGGTCCTTTCCAATCCATAACATTCTAAGATTCTATGAAACAGTTTTAATTTTAAACAGATTTACTATTTATGTGTATAGCCTGATGAGATTGTCAGTGGCCTTATGAACAAACCACAATTCGGGTGAAAGTAGAAGCTGTTTGTTCCTATATGTTTACTATTTTTGGGGTACCTGTCTTAATAATATTTCTTGCATTTTATTAACTTTATGGTTCTGATCCTACAGATGTACTTACACATGTTACAAGCAACTTTACATATATGAGACTCCCCTCAGAATACTAATCATCTTGGGCTTTCTGTCAAAGCAGTGTTCCTGCAGGTAAGATTTACATTTGGAAGAACAAGGAAAGAGAAGAGTTTGTTTTAAACCCTGGTGTTTTTTTGAAAACACTTAGAAATTTAGAGTTTTATTAGTGCTGACCAAGACAGATCAGCAGCAGGAACAGCACAGGCTCGAGGATTCTAGAACTGAAGTGAAGAAAAAAATCTCTACATCTGAACTCTTGTTAAAAAAAGAGCGAATATATTAACAGAGGTCTCTTAAATGTGCTTCAATACAAAGACATTTTTATGTGTTAAAACCATATAATTTCCAGATTAAAAACTAATCAGAAAAAAGGAAAAAAACCCAAGTCACAACAATGCAAGTACTTACTTAGCCCTGTAATTACTGGGCCATTTCCAGTGGGACTTCGACCACCAGTCCCTACTCCTGCTCCACCTACACCTGGGGAGAAACCATTGCTTCTAGGGATGGGAATGAATCCTGCTCCTCCTGGGCCGTAGCCATAGCCATTGCCATTCCCAGCAGGAAGGAACCCGTTTCCTCCTGTCCCACCACCTCTGGAACCACCTCCAGCAGAAGCGCCATCCACACAAAGTCTGTGGTGTTCATCTGTTAAACAGGAATGCACAGAACAGCACAAAGTAATTCAGTCCTTCAGAGTCAGCTTATAAGGAAGATACAGATCTTTGTACACTACAAAAACCAGAACACTAGCTCTTCATTTCTTTGATGTTATGTGTTCCCTCTCCCTTTCCTAATCTCAGGCAGATCCCATGATTGTGAAAGGTGTTATTTAAGGAAGGACGCTATAAATAACAAAAGGAAATACTGTAATTTACAATTATTTGTTGAAACCTTTTTGTTGATGTGTTGCCAACAGCACTGTAACTCCCTGGTCACTCAGAGATCTTGGTAATAGATAAACTGAAAATACATTTCACTAGGGATGTGGACTATTGTTTTGTGAGCAGAGCTGAAAGAATAAATGAAATACTGATGCACTTCTAGTTCAAAGTAACACAAAATTTAAAGGAATAAGAAAGCAGCTGTTCCTTTAAATAAAATGAACTATGGACCCTCAGAGTCATTTCCTTTTTGAGCTTGACCACAAAATCTTTCCCATTTCCCAAGAACTACTTCCAAAGTCAACAAAAGGATGTTAAAAAACTAGTCCCAAACCATCACGGACCAAAAAAAAAATGGTTCACAGATGGCAAGATCGGTATTAAAAACACAAGAATGAATAATAATGTAATTCCTGACTTTCTTTTTTCATTTACCCTACATTTTAAAACAGTTTAAAATATTCCAGTGACCTCCATCCCAACTAGAATGGACAGCAAGAAGGAGAAAACCAATCAATGCACAAGCCACTTACCAGATCCTCTGACAGGACACATGTCTGGAACAGATCTGATGGCCCAGCACCGGCCAGACTCACAGCAGCACTGCCTTTTGGTGAACCTACCAGGAAGCTCCTGTGCACAGCGGCCATTCACTATGTTGGAAAAACATGTACTTGCCCTCTGATCTGGAAGTTAATTTAAAAAGAAAACCAAAAATAGTATAATTAACTCTTAAAATTACTTTCCCTTTTTCAGCTCATGTAAGGACTAAAATGTTAAAAAAGTTGCATTAAACACAAAAACCAAACCCCAAAATACCCCCAAACACACCCAACAATTATCTGAGGTGATCAGCACCAATGCATTACGCATTTGGTTTACTGTAGGATCATACATTTGCAGTGACACTAGTCTTGCATTAATCCAACATGCAATTTTAAAGTTTGCTCAAGCTAACATGAAATGTGGATGACATAAAAGATACAAAGCAATATAAATAGAAACTAGATAAAAATATATAAATAGCCTGCTATGGCAAAAATAGAGAATTTTCATGTAACAGCTGCAACGTCAGTAAATTAATTTAATGAATTTTTCCTTGGTGTAGATGTATCTGACTGAAGAAATGCTATACAGTCCGCTTCACTCAGTAAATTGAAAGTACAAGAGTATTTTTAGTACTGCCAGGTGAAAACTATTCTATATAAATATGTCACTGTTTATTATATTCAAGGACATGAATGAATGTCCTTGAATTCATGTCTTTTCACATTCTTTTCACATTCCTGAATGCTGACTAGGAGAAAAGCTCAATGAATTTGGAAAGACATGGTACTAATTACAGTAACTGAGTAGATCCTGATATTTTGGTTAAAAGCAAATACTTATTTTAAACTATAAAGAATAAAATAATTTGTATTAACAAGAATTACATTCTTCACTTTTCTCCTAAGTAAAGGAGAAATTATACGTCTATAGTATATAAATTACACTCCAACTCTGTAAACATCTGAGAGCACAGAACAAGAACTTTCAGACACATGTTAATTTAAATGAAAGAGACTGTCCTGGTTTCAGCTGGGACAGAGCTAATTTTCTTCTTAGTACCTAGAATATTTGATTTAGTACGGCATTTGTTATGAGAAAAATGTTGATAATATATTCATGTTTTTGGTTGTTGCTAAGAAATGAAGGACTTTGCAATTTCAAATGTTTTGCTAGTGTGCAGGTGTGCAAGAAGCTGTGAAGGAGCACAGCAAGCGAAACTAACCCAAATATCATGCAATGTCATGCTCAGCATACAGATGAGGCCGAGAAGCCCTCTGGCTCTTCTGGGACTGTGGTTTCAGGTTTCCCCTCCTCAAGAATTGCTAGTCAGGGATAGGCTGGGCATTGGTCAGTGGGTGGGTATAACTTGTTTGTATATTATTATTATTATTATTA